TGCAGACAGACGTTTTAGCGATTTAGTAGAATTTAGCCTGTTCCTGGGCTGTTGTCCAGCTAGATGCGTCAGTAACTTTTATTTTACAAGTAAGACAAAGAGAATGTTTGATTCAGAACCAGCAGGTTCAGGATCCACTGCCTAATACTGTATTTATTTTAGCATATTCCTATCTATCCTTACTATTTATTATACACACACAACAGACCTAACATGTTTGAATATAAAGAACTTGTATGATCGCGTCTGGCCACATCAATCATCAACAACCACATTGCAGTAACACCATGGAATATTATTCCTGCACATAACAGATATCGTCTATACTGTGATCTTTTGCACATTCTGCTCAGCAGAGTTTTGTCAACACTTTTGTACATAGTTTTTTTCATAGTTTTATATTTTTAATATGTGTATCTATGTATATTTATCTTTTTGACTCTCTCAGTATTTTACCTTTTATTTCTATTTCCTGTTAATAAGTTTATTGAATACTGCACCAAACACCAAGCCAAATATCTAGTAAGTAAAAATCTAACTGGCAATAAACCTTATTTCCTGATTCTGCCTTTGTGATGATGTCATCATCCCTTCCTCATGCTGCTGTAGTCTGACACCAATGTGATGCAGTATCCCCTTGCCTTCATATTTTTATAGGTAAATAAAAATAAACCATTTTTATTACAAGTACTCATAATTTGTTTCAGTGCTCTCAACAATTTTAACTATCAACAATAAATGCACATATAAATAATAAATTATAAGGAACATGGGGAAACAACAACATGATTAACTGGACAGGAGCAAAGAGGTGGAATTCTGCCCCCTATGGAGGTGGAGCAAGTAGCACAATCTTACACATTACACCTTTAAGTGTAATGACTGAAATATTATTATTTCATATTTTGCTCACCTTTGTGAAACATGTATGGTGACAAGATTTCAGAGAAGTATTCATTCAAGTCTTTTTCATAGTTAGTGGTGGTGTTGTTTTGGATTATATAATGTTAAGAGATATTTTTAATAGTTGAAACATGTCATATTGTCAACAAATCTGTACATAATAAGCTTCAATACATTACAATTGATTGCATAGGTTTTGTATTATATTGCATCATATACTGTATGTATTATATAGGTGTGCATGTGTTTGTTTCTAAGCCCTGTGCAAGATAAGTCGTAGTAAATGAAGACATAATACAATAAAAAATTACCTCAGCTCATTGGGAATGCTGCTTACTCTCACTGTTCATGGGAACATGTTGCGCAAAATACTGAGAAATTGGAACAAGGGAGCATTCCTGTTTGCTCATGGACATCCGTTTGCTCAATCACTGAAATATGAGCTCTGCCGGCTGTTAGATGACAGTAAGCAAAACATCTGCTCATCCACAGGGAATGGCACTAGCCTCCTGAGCACTGTACCACATTATGATTTATTTTAATTTTCTCAAACTAACACCTGCCTCTTAATGTACTTTACAGTGGCTGGAAAATGAAATGCACAGATTTATCATTGTGTGTTTAGTTTTAATGAGATGGGCGGCTTATACATGTGGGGACACATTTAAGTTGTGTTCGGAAAAGCTGCTGTACTATGGCTGCCTCTCAATACAGCAGGCATCAAATGAACATGAGCCATTATAAAGAAGGAATTTGAGACCATCTATCAGTTGATCAACTAACTGGAGAGAACCTTCATTGGAAAGATTGATGAAACAGGCAATTTCATTAAGAGGACAATATTTCTGTGTTTATTTTGCTATGTTTACATTCTCGTGTTAGTGACTGAGAGAAAGGAGAGCTAGAGCTTGCTCTCTCCTTTTCATTCGCTCAGACCAGGCTGACTGGAGAGCAGCTGTCCAGTGAGATGGATGTCTGTTGGAAATCTGCTGACAGAGCCTCCTGCTCTGTTAGCAGAGAGACGGGCAACAGGGAGGCACGAAACACAAACATTCAGTACCTGTATATGAATCACTACAATATCAGCCATCCCACTTTTTGGAATATTTTTTGGCAGTGAAGACATTGTGGATCCCCCACAGAAAACGGCAGAACTCACTGTATGACTGTAGCTCTACACGTCTATAGCACCAGTGAGTTTTCTGCCACTGAACTCTGTGCTGAGACAACACTTTTTAGGAGTTCCCTTTTGGACATTTTTCATGCAAGAACTCTTAGTTCTTTTAAAATCAAGGCTTAAGACAGTTCTGTTTGCCACTGCCTTTTATCATATTAAATTTGAGATTATTTATTCATATCTTGCACTCCACTGCAACTGTGCAGTAACTTTTATTCAGTCTGTTTCATTTAGTTTTAACTTAAAGGAACGGTTCACATTTCTTCCAAGTTTGTCTTGAAGCGATCCTCAGGTGCCCAGATCAACACAGGTTGAAAAGGTTAGCTGTAATCATTCCTCTTGTTCATACTGGCTATTTGTGTGTGTGTGTGTGTGTGTGTGTGTGTGTGTGTGTGTGTGTGTGTGTGTGTGTGTGTGTGTGTGTGTGTGTGTGTGTGTGTGTGTGTTTTATCCTGCCACATTTTAATCAGGTGAAACGACCAGGAAAGCCTTAAAACCCAACCTTTTCAACCTCAACCCTGGGCCAGTTTATTCTGATCAAGGTGTTGACATATTATGTTTGTTTTCCATTTGAGCTTCATAATAGCAACTAAGAAGGGGTTTGTTTATGGTTAGCAGATGTGACAATACATAAATCTTTATTTGCTGTTGCCACGGTTGTCAGTTTTACCCGCATCACTTCTCACACAATACAAACTTTCCCAGGCTTCAACTGAAAAACTTAATATTCCCTGAATTAGCTTCAGGTCAAATAATAATTTGTGATAACACGTGTAATAATGAGTAATGAGCGAAGCCATTTCTAGATCAACATTCAGCTTCCTATTTTCTGGATTTCTTCTCTGCAGCTGTATTGTGCACTTAGTCTTATGTAGAGTATAGTATGTGTGTGTCTGTGGTCACTCCAGTGATGAGAGTGACATTTCAACCCAGTGCCAGAATGTTTTCTGAGGAGGAGGTGGGGTGCGGATAGATGTGGCCATGGATCAATGCCACCACCCATACAAATGAGCCTCGGCTGAATGAGAAAGATTACAGCAATCACTTGGGCACACAGCAGATAGGGCTGACAAGAGTGTTTGTGAGCTTTCTGGACACGATGCATTCAGGTGTGAAAGGCAAACAGGGCTGCGCCACAAAAACTAAACAAAGACAAAAGGCCTGTATGGAAGACAGCATCACATCAATAAACACTCCTCATAACTAAGTATGAAAACCTTTTATGCTGGTTTGTTTGAAGACATGTTTGCTATGTGTTTAATTGCTCATACATCTGCATTCCTATATCTTAGGAGGGATGGATTTAAAATGTTTGATGACATCTACCACATATGCACTTTGCTTTGGACAAAAACATCTGCCAAATGAATCTATTTTGACGTAATATATTTTGTTCAGTGCAAAGCAACTCGTAACAGTGTTATTAAAAAGTGCTATATAAATAAAGTTTTATGCCGAGATATTTTGACTGGTTGTGTTTCTAAAGCGAATGCATTTTTAAACAAATCAATATTTTTGCCACTTCGGGAATTGCAGACTGGAGCTGCCATGTACTGTGTCGAAGTATAACTTTTGATTCCTGGGGAACTCACTCTAACATGAAAAATCAATACAGCTTAACAGGCCTACTGGGGGTCGCTCTGCAGCTCTACAATCAGGTGTTGATTAGGGAAAAGAGCAGGTGCTGGGTAATGTGCAGCACGGAAAATGGATGGCAACAGTCTGACGTCTTCACGTTTTGGAATTATTTCACAGAGAAGAAGTGAAATCTACCTCACAACTTCAATCAGCTGCTGATGATACATATTTAATAAACCTTTCAAAAAGCTTCAGGCAAAATCATCCAACATGTCAATACCTGTCTGTATGGGTGACAGTGATTGGGATGTAGAAATAGTCCTGCAGTCTTGTTTTACAGAACACTCGCACAGTTTGTACTGACTACGGAAGCAAATGGTACATGGTATAGATTTATTCAAAAACAGAAATCAGAAAGCACATATTTTGATATTTATAGGTTGATTTGAAATTACTGATCAGTGCGTTTGAAAGTGAAATGTGATGAGTTGAATGTTTGAATTTCAATAGCTTTTTATGGTAATTATTGATGGTAATTTCTTATGATTGTGAGGATATTACACTGATGATATACACACAATATCAACAAGCGTATTAACCTGTTATTACCCTCTTTTTCATCAAATCCAACCTCTACATACACTGCGTATTATTACTCTACATTTGCATCAGCTCAAAGTTGAGACAGTAAGATTTTACATTGATTTTGCCCCAACTGTTATTAAGAGAATATTATCTGGTTAAAAATGGGCATTTATAGCAGATTATGTGCCTATACCAAGCTATATGTTCTTGAGATATTTTAATCCATTACTGGTATTCTTTTGCAAAAATAATAAAGCAATTGAACAATTCTAATTGTTCTTACCAGGCTAACCCCTCTGAAATTACCAAACATTACCCCTTAACTACCATGTTATTACCAAGCTGAAACATAAAGTGTTAATTATTATTTATTTCACTTGTTTGTTAAGACAGAGATCTTGTGGGTTGAATGACACAGCTCATGACCTCAGATACCAGATACACCGGTTCCCTTAAAGAACAAAGCCCTCCAGTGCGTTGAACAGGATACAGCATAAAAACAAATCACAAGAAAAAAAAAAACTAACACCAGGAAAGAAATAATAAAATAATTAACCTCAACAGTCACTGGCTCAGGAAAAGTTGGAAGTAATGTGCAGATAATATATGTAAAGCAAAACTGGTTACAATTTTTGTAAAGGTTATGTGTATGACTGTGTGTGTGTGTGTGTGTGTGTGTGTGTGTGTGTGTGTGTGTGTGTGTGTGTGTGTGTGTGTGTGTGTGTGTGTGTGTGTGTGTTTGATGAGTAAAACTCACCAGGTCTGTCTTGGGCATGTCTTGATAGTCAGACGAGTAGCAAGCTGTTGTTTTCCCAAAGCCATTGTCACCAATGACCTTTGGCGGCTGAGCATGTTGTCGGTATGTGGCGCTCTTTGGAGTCCAGCAGAAGAGGTTGATGGATTCACGGACACAGCGCTCAATGTCAATTTCTGTGCAACAAAAAGCACGGAAGTACAAAAATGTTACTTGGAAAGGTTTGAGTTGCTCCCAACCTATGAGCAAAGTCATAAACAGCTGAGCGGGCCAAATATTGCATTTTAAAAAGCTAGCAAACATTAGCTCTTTGTAGTCTAAGTGCTATTTTGACCATTGGTTTGATTGCGCCGGCGTGATTGGTGACTGCTGAACCTGCACTCAGTTCGTGAAATCAAAATCTTTTTTTATGTTTATCCACCTAAGATATCAAATACATATGGTGGACATCAGCAGTCTTGCATTAAGAAAGCAGTTTTTTACAACACAAGTATTGGACAAACAAAAATTTTGTCCTGATGGCGACACTAAATAAAAAGTTAATGGATCGCCAAGGCTATTACAATTCATGCTGAGGTCATAATTATTGTATTAAATTTAATGGTAATCCATTAAATAGTTGTGGAGACATTTCACTTAAAACTTCAGAAGGGTATTCTGCTTATCTCTGATTTCTCAATTACCCCTGACAAGATTTTACTTTTACAAATTATTTAACTGCTCTGTGAGAAAATGAATAAATCAAAAAACTAATGAATAAACAGAGTGAAAAGCATGAGAATAAAAAATGTGATTCCTTCCCTTGAATCAGAGATAAAGCAGAGGAAATTATGTATATGTGTTGTGGGAGGTTTAGTTGAAGACACAAGCTTAGCTTGACCTTGGCATTTTGATGCCATTAATAATCTTAAATAGTCATCCGGCACCGGCAGCAGCTCTTTTAAGATATTAACTGTCCTTTGTTTAGCTGCTGTCCCTCATCTGAGCTCTTGTCCCAAAATAAGTTTTTTGTGCAAAGTGAAATTTCTTCTCTTCCCCCTAATGCCTCTCCAGCAGTATCCATGCTTCTCCTGCTTCTCGCATGGAGAATAGAGAGGATTAAGGAGCAGGGACTCACTGGATTAGCCGAGGATTTGGGTAAATTAGGAATTCTTTCCTTCACACTCTTTCACACTGACAGCCTCTCTCTTTCACTCCCCTATTTCGTGGATAATAAGCAAGTCTGGCTAATGAGCACTCCTTGGTATGACCTGCACCTGGGCCAGGCTCAAGTGAAATTATATAGAAGATGTACCCCGCCCCCCCCTCTGTCCCACAGCGACGTCAAGGTTAGGGGGTTGTCAGCTCTCAGGGGCTAGGACCTCACAGACTCAGTTACAAGGATCATTCCAGTGAAAAACACACTGGTGGTCAGAGATTCTTTCACCGACTGGCTCACAGGCAGTTCAGGGGAAACACATTTTTCCCTCTCTAGGGCCACGAATGCTGCATGCAATCACTCCTTCTGCTAAAAAAGAGGGCAGGAATGAGGAAGAGGAGATTGATAGCAGCTTTAACAAGCCCTGGGCTCAGCTGGGCAGTCCACAGCAGCCAATTCTGTTAGGGAGCAATTTTTCTTTTTAGTCAGGCAACATTACATTTTAGTAATTATGTATAGGCGTTGACTGTGGGCTGTGACTTGTTGCCACGAAGAGTAGAACAGCATGATTAGTTAAGAGCAACTCGGGGGTTTGGTGGAATTGGACTGTGGTGCAAAGGAAGATAGAGCTGGCAATAATGAGATGAAAGAATTTAGTGAATTAAAATAAATAGAGAAAATCTATTGTACTATAACGTTCCAATTCGTTATTTTATCACAAACACACCGTGAAAATCAGGAAAATTACTCTTGATCAATAACCATATAAAGCCAACCATCAGTGGATCTTTAATTGTAATCCACAATTAAATTGATAATATTAGATGGGGTTATGGAAGTAGGAGGTGACTATCTATTGTCCAGGGGTTTGTCCATCCATCCATCTTTACATAGTAATGCCACGAGACATGCCACTATCCACATTTTGATAACATTTTGCCCTTGCTCTATTATTCCATTTCAATATTAAAGTGATTATGCTAAGGTAGTATTTTAATGGTTGTTTTTTTTTGCTCTGATGAAACTTAGGGGGAAGAGGAGCACTGTGTTTATATAGCTTTAAGAGATGCATTTATCATTGATGGGGGATAAAACTAAAGTTACCATATGTCTGAAGACTCTCAGTCATCCAGGTCATGGTCACCCAAGAAAAGGTGAATCAAAGGCAACTGGACCTGGTTGTAGACAAACAGGTCCAATTGCCCTCGATTTAGCGTTTCTTGGATAAAAGTTACCATAATTATTTCTTTGCTTAGAGCGGCTCTAAATTAAGTCATCAATCAATGCTTATCTGATACTAAGACATACAGAGTGTCCTGACTGACCTGAAGTCATCAACAAGGTAAGTATATGGTTCTAATTTCAAGTTTAGGAGTAAACGCATTTCATCACCTTTCTTAATGTTGGATACAATCTTATCTCCCATATGGTTTTGGAGAGTTGTAAAGCAGTTACCAGCATAGACAATGAGACCAGAGCACAAACGCATGCATTGCAACATGCATGCTTATTCCAGGGGGTGTGAAAAGAATATATATGTAAACCATGATGGTTGCTTTAAAATGATGAAAAGCTCCTTCAAATATTTTGATACTACTGAAACTTTTGGTGGCAGAATTTGTCTGGGATAATCAGTCCACCTACAAGTTATTGCCGATTTTCAGGAAACATGTTCATTTATCCTGAACTGAAGGTTAACTGAAGACGAAGAAAACACTTTGGGAAGCCCCAGCTGTGATTGTTTCTGATGGACTTGAATTACAAGATTTACAAATTTACAAATTAAAAAATAAATGTAAATGATGTTGTGGCCAAATGGCCTGGCTGAGCATGATGCACAGATGCACCAGGAACACTGAAAGGGAGAAACAGCAGTGCCAAAGCATCGTCCAAAATATTGCTGTGGCCAAGGCGTGTTCACACTTGATAGGATTATACTAAATGTGTAAAGCTTTTTCTTTTAATTATTTTTGGGCATTTTATGCCGTTATTGGACAGAGACAGTGGAGACAGACATGAAATGCAGGGGAATGACTAATGGTCCAGCTGACATAAAACATAAACAGACTTATTGGATAAAAAAGTACAAGATACAACATCAGATTTAAATAAACTGGTATCTTACATCCTCAGTGAAATCTGTGTGCCATTTTCAGTTTAGATTCAATATGTTTTCAGTCTTTACCTTTGGGCAGCTAGCCTGTCATAAAAGTGGTGCTATTGGCCTTTTTCATTTTTTGTTGTGACTTCCTGCATGAAATTGTATCTAGATCGGCCCATCGGTCCTCCGAATGCGCTGACTGCACATCGGAAACCACTCAGAAAAATGATAAAATGACATTATTAATTCAATTTTATGGTTCTGAGTGTCACAAACCAGTCAAGTGTCACTCTAAAATGGGAACCTCTACTCCTTGCTAAGAGTGGCTTTAGGAATCTCACAAATAACTCAAATTCTCTGAGGGCAGAGGATTTTTTAACTTTAAGCACAAATGTAAGTGAATCTGAGATGACTGACAAATTTGGCCGCAGGTCAATATTGTCGAGACACTATAGATATTACCAAGGTCCACCTTAACCTCTGCTGCTCACTGCCTCTAACAGGATAGGATTTACTCGTTTTAAAATGCCACAGACCAGACGATCAGCCAAATCCCGAATGCAAATGTAAATATGTCATGCCAAATTTGTCACGCACTCTCAAACACTAAACCTTCACCATCAATGTTCTGCTTCTCCCTCCCTCTGCCCGTATTCTCGCGGTGTCCCTGTGTGCAGCGTTGCCGTCAGCACTGTCAGCGGCTCAATGCTGTTTCTCTCAGAACTAAACGTCTATAGCTAGAGCTCATCAGTTCTGTGCCCAGCTCTGCTCATTGAGACAGATGCTAATGTCCCGTGAAGGAAGGCAAATGCTGCCGCATCATCAGTAAACACACGCTTCCTGTCAGCTGGAGAGCCTCGCTTCTCCATTGTGAATCAATGAAGTCTCCAAACAAGAGAAAGTTATAGATTACCTGAGGCTACGAGAGTAGGCAAATGGGAATCACAAAATAAGATTAATTGCCAACAAATGGTGGGCTGAGACGCCTTGCTGGCTCCAGGGCAAAATGTTGCGGCACAGGTCTGACCTGTTTCACATTAGATTTTGTTTTAGACTCTGATACACTGAGTGTGATATAATTTCAGTTCAACAATAATTTAGTCTTCTGTGATGGTCTGGAAGGTCAAGATGACTTAAGGAATGTTTTGCTGAGGATAAGGTTGTATACAGGGGGATGAGTTACAGTATATATGATGCAACTGACATATTGACAACCTGGGGAACCTGTTGTTGAACATGACCTCATAGTCTGTATCACTGCCCTTAAATCTGGACCTCTCTTCTTCGTCAGAATATTGGCAACTATAGACTTCACAGTGTTATGTGTAATAGGCTTGTCACTGTGAATTATGGTCACTGGCCCCACTTACTGCCTCAAAAGAGAGAAAGAGAGGAGTGTGTCTGAATCATTTAAGAGTCACTGTCCTGTAACGTTATCTTGACCGTTAACTTTTATTCTGACAGTCGTAGACAGGAATAGAAAGGGAGCACTTCTTTTCTTTTTTTTTTAATTTCACAACTAAATGTCATGCGTACTTATGCATCTTTCAAAGTTCATCCATCTGAAAATGTCTCCTGCAATGTCCTTTACCTTTTTAGCACTGACACAGACATCACAACTAAGTACAAGCTTCCATCATGCAAAGGCAAAATGACAATCATAATGCATCTCTATTATTAATGTGCCAGGAAATGATGAGCTACAGAAACAGGTTTGCGTAGTCACTAAAGTGCATGATGTCTCAGTTAAAAACTGCTACTTTATAATGTAAATACAGTGCTAACATGTTTACTGAGTGAAATCATTAATTCTTTCCTGCAGGGCCTAAAGACAACATGCACATTCAAATCTCAAACATTCTCTTTGATTTTCCTTTTCAGTCTGTGCTAAGCGAGATTGAGTCTACTTTTCCTCTTTCTTTCATACTGTCCAGCCAGCATCAGGGTATGTTTTTTCTGGCTTCACACATGCAGCTCGTGTAGTTACAAGCATGTGGAGCATGTGGAGTCTGCTCTGAAACAAATGAATGTGAGCCTCAGTTTGTACGAGGACATCAATTCTGCACGCCTGATGGCAGAAAGGAGCAGGTGTGGGCCACAAATCAAATATCTACCATAACTCAAAGTCTATGTACTTTATGTGTGCGTGCGTGTGGTTGTGTGTTTTAACTACATGAATGTGGTGAGACAGAGCACATACACACTGGCCACCAAAACCTTGCTTCCCACAAGGGCTGACAAGCACTATTACTATGCGTATAATTTACTGATAAAACAAAGCCAAACATATGTTTACTTTCAAGTTCTTCGCACTGAATCACATGCAATGAACGATATACACATTGCTAAATCACAGAATATTTACCATTTAACTGTTAAGAAGGGTTAGGGAAGGAACAAGACTTAGAGTCTGCAGCCATGCTAGCTCTGTTAGGCTGCTAGCAGCGTGCTAACATGCTGATGTTGAGCAGATATATTGGGTGATATGGTCAATGGCAAGCTAACATTTGTTAATTAGATTTAACACTGAGTACAGCTGAGTCAGCTGAGAATATTACTAGTTTTCTAGGACTATTAGAAAAAGTGAAATAACTTTGACTGGACTTGTTGGTCCTGGTAGAAATGTCAAAGGATCCCCAAATTCAGTGGCCGTCATCCTTTCAGAACCACGGATGTCTTTGTGAAATTTCATCCACTAGTTGTTGAGATAGAAAAAAAGGGGAACCACGCTGGTGGACTGACTGACAGGCAGACCCAAATTGCTCTCCCCAGAGCCATACAGCTGGGGAGGCTAAAAAACTAAATAAATAAACTCTGTACATTCCACGCCAATAAGCTCACAGTAGTAAGACCCCTACTGTCATTTAGCAGAGGTGATAAATGCTGTGCTGAACTGTTTGGTACTTGATTGGATTTAGCAGCCTGTGTCTGTAACAAGTTATATAAAACTATCTGGAGTGTGGACCAGAACATGCTGGAAGCTTAAGTAAACAAGTCCTGTTTGAGGTCACTCTACAGCCCAGGATTCATTCCTAATATAGTTTAAGAGAGACTGCCAGATACGACACTGTAACTACCCAGGTATACACAAGCTGCGATAATGAGGTTGGCAGAGATATACAGAAACGGGCTGGCAGAAGCTGCCTCTCCCAGGAAATCATGCCAAAGAAGCTGACTGCAGCTCTAGGCCAACATATTTTACCTTTATAAGGAGAACTGGCTCTCCTTTTCCCTTCCGCCTCAATCACATGAATCTGTTGGACCTGGGCAGTAAAGCACAGTGAAGTATGGCAGCACTGAATTTAGGCAGAAGGGGAGGCTGCTGGGCTTAGTTTACAGAGTACTCCGGTATCCCCGTTTGGACAAATCGTCCCTGTCTCTGTTGGTTTTAAAACCCCAATGTCATTCTGCCTTTCAGCTCAAAAAAAAAGAGGGCTAAGCAGCATTTGGAAATAGAGTTTTAAAGGAAATTGTTTGAGCTATCCCTCAGGCACAGAGAGGTACATTCTGAAGACATACATTATGAATGCTGCTCTCGGATTTTATGTCACCAATACTTCGCTCAAGTAATTGCTTTGTGCAAGTGAAAAGGAGCAGTAAAGTGGGCACATATTAAGAGACACTGTTAGGTGTCTTCACTCTCTGTGGCATATACAGTCGACAAAAACCGCGAAATCCCGGGGACAACGTGTCAGTGTATGCCTATACGACTTTACAAACCCCTTGGAGCAGGAAAGAAAATACATGTAACCAACAGAGCAAAGCTAATAAGTATGCATTTCCATCAACCCCGTATGATTACAATCAGGCCTGCGAATTCCTCCTTGATTTGTCGGCCCTCCTCCTGTGTCTTATTTAAGAAAGGAGGCCGAATCGCTCGTCTTGCCTGTATTACACTAAAAACCTGCAGGGATTAACAACTGTACTGCTGAGTTAAAAGACTATATTCCAGTATTTACCACCCCATCCCACCCACTTCCTCCCACACCTTATTTTTGCACCGCAGGGATATTTCCCTAATGCGGCGTAATGAGAAGTTAAAGAACTATAATTCGCAATGTGTGCCGTGTTTTCTAATGAGTGTAGAAAAAAAAACAGATGCAGGTGTGTCACGTGTGACGTTTCTTAAGGTGGATTACACCCATTTCCTACTCTTATTTTTTTGCCAGTGCCATTTCCCGTCATTACACCTATCTGTTTAAGTGCAGTTTTTAATACAAACTCAGGGTCTTTAACTTGCAAATCAGGTAGATGCCTCAGGCAGCCTGTTAGTCTCACATATACATGCTAACCCTCTATCTCCATTTCTTGCATGAGTAATCCTGCATTTGTGGTTGAGAGTTGAAAAAGTCTGACTTAGCCTCTCAGGTGCATGTCTAATAGCACTAAAGAACCCAACAGCAACAACTTTCTTTAATGAATATTGTATCGGCGTGTCCAAATGCCCCTCACAGACTAAAGATGGACTTGACAATGAAGATGAGAGTTGATGGAAACACTGGAGGACCACAGAGGTTATGATTTCAGTGGCAGACAATTCCCAGGGTGCAGTTGTTGACTGTTTGAAGGATGCAGAGCAAAGTGAGGCACGCCTAGAGCACATCAAGGAGGGAGTATGTCTGTGTAGGAGTGCAGAGCTGCCTGCTTTGAGGATATCATTAACTCAGACACATCAGCACACATTAGTACTCCCAGGAACGAAACACGGCATCCTGCAAATACCACTTTCTGTTGCAGTCGGGCAACCTTCAAGTCAGATTTAGGGAAGGCAGGGAAAAGTATTTTGGTGTGATTTTGTTTATAACCATCGAGGTACTACAGCTTAAGGCATGTAGAAGGTAAACAAGCCCAAAAGACAGTGAACATACAAAGATGTAACTACCAGCTCATATTCTCACCTGGCAGGTCAGAGAAGAGCAGGATGCATTCATTGAAGCCATTAGCCAGGAGACGATCCCTGAGTTGCTGCAGTATGGCCACACCGATACAGAAGGGGAAAGAAGAGTTACCCAGCAGCAACGTGTCCCACAGGTGGAAGATCTTGTGCAGTGGAAACACATCTGTATGGCAGGTGGAGAAATAAACAAAAGAAGGCAACATTTTACAAAACGACTAAAAACAAGTGTGTCTGAGAGGACAAATCTCTCGAGGGCTGCACAATAGGATCCTGCAAGCAGGACAACAGCATTCAATGTGCACGCAGTGTAAAATGGCGAATCAGTCAGTACATAATGAGTATGATTTGCATGTGCATAGTACATTTACTTAGCATGGCTCTATGGCTTCAAAATGGGAAGCTCACTAAGCAAAATTGTGCATTGGCAAGGTTGCCTAGAGGGATATTTGATGTGGGGGAGGCAGCTGGGAAAATGTTTTTAGGTGGGTGTTGTTGTGGAAAAATGACAGGAAGAACATCAGGGGGCTGAAGAGCTTCAGAGCAAGGAACCTGCACAGGTTATTTCGAGCCAAATAAAACCACATCCTGATAATGCATCCCAGTGCAGTTATTATTTCAGTCATATTCCTCTCAGGATTTGAAAATTTTATGTTTCCTCCCTATTGAGATTTATGCATGAGAACCAGCACTGTCCACCTGGTTATATCATATCACCATTCGTTAACGCCATCCGTTAACATGGCTGCTCAGCAGTAGACGTGTGTGGGTGGGAAGAGTGTGAGTGTGGTGAGGCAGGCTGAGAGAGCAAGAGGGGTGAGAAAATGCCTCGGAGGGTCGGCGCCGCATTAGCAGTCAGCTGAGCAGACTGGTGCATGTGAGTGACAGGCAGTGTGTCTGAGTGTGTGCGTGTCTATGTGTGAATGGAAGATGACCCTCCAACCTTGTCTCATATTGGATTGGGGACATTAGCAGTCAGAGGGGTGCACCTCCTGAATACTGGACTCATGCACTGCCTCAGGGGGAGGATAAGGGGTAAAAGGGTCACACCTCCCACCCTCTACCTCAGGAGTGGTCTCTGTGTGAGTGTGTAACTGAGGAATGAAATATCCCACTGCCAAGTGCAGGGTTCAGATAAATCAATGGACAGAGTACGTCAAGATTAATTTGGCTACAATTAGTGTAAATCACATGTGTTCTATGTGTAAGAGTCTGCAGACGAGCAAAGTTCTGATGTTAACTACCCAAAATTACACCAAGAAGGCAAAAAGTTATTCAAGTTATAGTGTATGATGGGGCTGCACCTATAAGACACAAAGGTTAATTGCATATAATTTAATTTGTAGCAATGATCTGTAACCTCTGTTCATATGCTCATATTTCAGAGCTCCAGCTGCGCTCAGTGAAAGATAAAAGCGTAATGCTGCCATCACCTGACAAACCACACGCTGAGAACCAGCCAAAATAAAACCTTTATGTAGCTCTCATGCAGCGCAGAAGGCGAAAAGAATTCATACATGATGCTCATATTTCAGTCTCAACTAATAAGCAAAGGGTTGGAAGTTTTTGATAAAACTCCTCATTCAACAGTTTTGCTAAAATTAGACAGAACTCAGAAACCGTATGACTCCTACCTGTTAATCAAATCGTTTAGAATCGCAGCTTCTACACGGTCAAAAAATAATACAAAATTGTCCAAACTTGAGTCATTTTCCATTACTTTATTCAAGTTTACATTTTGGACAGTAAAACATAATCTGAATGTGTCCTGCAAGAATATGGATCTAGCTATCATCAATATCTACAATGAACCCCAATCACCACCATAGTGACCCGCAACTGTAATGACTTTTCTGAACTAATGTTAACTAGATGACTAGTTGAATCAACCCTTTTCAACTCTCACAATAGAAGCCTGTAAGTCTCAACAGAAGCTGAACATTACAAGCTTGACGCAGGAGGCAGCAGGATACTTCCGGGCTGCTGTAAAGGATTCTTTTAGAGAGGAGCTTTTTGCTGAGTGTATGAGTGTATGAACGAATCTTCTCATAGTCTCATAGTCAAATATTTATTTTTCCCTTTGTTGATTCTTTTTTTTTTTTTTTTTTTAAAAAAAAAAAAAAAAAAAAAAAAAAAGAACAAGCAGCAGGAGTTTTTTTCCTGACCACTATGCACTCTAAGTTATACTAGGCGAGGGAAAAGATTCATGGGTAGGATGCAAAATTCAATTTATGGCATCTAGATAGTAAAAATAAATAAGTATTCAATAAACATGGGCATCTTACGTTACAGAAATACATCATGCCATTCTCCAGGTTCTCCTGAGGAAAACAAGCTTGCCGATAAGTGGTGATGAATTTTTATAATGTTTTAAATCCATATTTATTAAAGGCTTTTTATTGTTACCATCCTGGAAGTGAGCGCCTGGAATTGATTTTGTCTGCCACATCCTACCCATGTATCTTAGACATGCTGGATTTTCTTCCTTTTTTATAATATCAACTCAAACATCATTTTCATGAGCTGCAGGTTAGAATACATTAATTGTTCATTTCCAGCTGACTGTAAAATCATGACAATGTAATCAATATTTCTGAATAAGCTTTGTGATGACAACCATCCCAACACCCACAATTGCTTTTATACTGTATTTCCACAAATATCTCCACACAATTGGGTGTTATATTTCTACTTTCCTACATTGATAGTTTCAGTGAGTCACTACTTGGACACAGAGAATGGTGCAGACTGCTCCATAGGGAGCGCTATAATAAGCCTGTAAAGACTACAGCTCAGTTTCGCCTTTCTGTTTAGTCACAGAGTCACAGAGACGTGACACTTGGAACAGACATGTATCTGCATACAAAAGACCCTTGAATGTTAAAACACTACAATATAATGTCCACCATCCATTTCTAGCCTGGAATTTTGGATTTTGGTGCATAACAATGTCTTAAGAGAGACATCACAGGTGCATTACCTTACATAGGAATTGACTTTCCTTAATTTTTATATATTTATCAATGACACAGCTTTATGGTGGTGGGAGATAATTTCAGGTCATTTAGTCAAGTAAAGGTTGAAATATAAAACTAAACAAATACTCCATCTAACGGAAAGGTTGGCAACACACTGTACTTAAAGTATCAGAAGTAAAAGTACTCATCAGAACCGATGATTATTATTTATGTATTAAAGGTCCCACATTGTATAAAGTGAGATTTCCGTGTCTATTTCGATTATAAAGCAGGTCTAGGTTCTATATTAATACTGTGAAAGTATCAAAGCTCCCAGTCCACAGAGAAATGCACACAGAAAGTATTCAGAGACTGAGCCTTAAAACAAGCTGTCCGGACTTCTGTGATTTTGTAATGTCACAACAAAGCAGTCACCACCTTCAGCCATGCCCCAAGCCCCGCCCACTGGACCCACCATCCAACCTTGCAGGATCTGGCATCTCTGAATGGTTACCTGAAATCTGCTATATTTTTATTAGATCACTCAGAAAACAGTCAACCAGAGGAGAAGCTCAGAGCCTCTCTTTTGATTGGCTCACCGAGCTGTTGTCTGGAGCTCCAGAGAGAAGCCTGAGAGAGGATATATAAAACTACACTGAGATGGTTTTTGGTACTTAAAACCACAAATATATCGTCATGTGGATCAACACATCAAATGAAACACTGAGAAGTGTAAAACATGTGAGCAGAACTTTAATGTTGTAGTTGGACTGTTTTATATATTTTGAGGAAGTTTAATCTAGGTATTATCATTACATATTTTTTGTATATGTAAAGCAACTCAAAATTATCTAACTACTGTATATGAGTAAATATTAAAGCTTCTTAATTTCAAATTTAACTCAGTAGAACAACTGTATGTGAAACATGAATTTGTTATTGTCTCAGTGGATCCTGTGATGGATCAGCTGAGCAATGATAACTGATGTGATAACGATAACCCCTCTGGTGCTCTGGTATTTGGCTTTCTGATCTTTTCCCACATGGAGGAGAAAAATTGCTGCGAGCAGCTGACTTATCAGCTTTATGATGGGATTTTTGAACTTATTCCGTTAGATACATATTACAGATGAATAAAGATGTGCTGGTAAAAATCTCAGGTAGCGCAGGACTGAGCTTTCAAGTCCTTTTCCCTTAGGACGGGAATTAATTAACAGCTGGAACAAAGGTCACCAAGAGAAAAAAAAAAAAAAACACACAAAAACCTACTTAACTTGTCCATACTGGAGAACCTGACCTTTTCTGTCTCGTTTATTGTTACTCTAACTGAGGCAGACTCAAAATACCAGAGTTTTGGATTATGCATATCCACATTGTGAGCACAAAGAGAAGGTACTTACGTGTAAACATTGTCAGGAACCATGGAATAGCATAAAGCTGCACAGAACAGAAGAAAAAAAGAGAATAAGATATAAGCACATTTAGGAGATAATTTAGCATCTCTTTGTATTTAATATTCAGCATGTCAATTTGCTCAAATGAGATGAATGAACCACTTTCTCACTTGAGAGATTTCTGTCTTTAAGAAAAGCAGCACACATGGCTGCACATCTCTACAGCCCCCGAGAAACAGAAACGGCAATAAAGAACAAACTGCTGAGTTTGGTTATTAGTCAATGGGGAGAAAATCTAACAGTGAATCTCTTTACACCAATTTTGTCATCCCTCCCTTTTCTCACCGTCTCTCCTATTTCATCTCTACATTCCGCACCTCCCCTGGGGGAAATGCATAAAACTGAAATTATAGACCACCCACACTCACCTACTAATGTACACATACACACACAATCCACCATTAACCACCCGGTCTAACACCTGCCAATCGTTGGCCACTGTCACCGTGGCTCAGCAGCAAAGGGTCTGGAGCAGGAATTCTGGAGCTTATCTGAGCCAGTTAATTGATAGCTAATTGCAGGGGAGCTGGTGACTGTTCCGACGCCCTCTTCTGCGCCCGGGAGTGATGAGCAAAAGAGAAAACCACTGCACTCTGAGTTCCAGCCTCAGTCTCAACAGCTTGGCAGCAGGACTGCAAGTCCAGCCAGATTGGATTAGTGTAGGTGTAAATGGCAGACCCAGGAGAGGAGATGCGGCCAAATTGAAAATGGCCTGAATTAAACCACTGGCTACAGGCAATCTGACTCTCTGCCTATGGCATTAGTGGAGCAGAGACCTTGAACGCCACAGTGTTTCCAAAGATTACTGGTGGTTTTTGCATGCTTGCACAAGATTTGTCTTTTTTCTAAAAGACAAACGGTATTAAGCTAGCCATGTTTTGGTATGGATATATGGGAAATCAAATCCATTTCATTCTGCAGTGGCATTTGGTCTTTTAGGGCAGACAGATTTATTGCCTCAGTAAAACAACAGTTCAGAGTGTTCTCTGAAGTTCACAGAGGAAAAGGGGATTTAAGGTCTGTAAAGTCTAATTACTGGGATTGACATCAAGCATAAAAGCTGTATCAACAAAGCTTGTTCCAATATTATCCTGGCCTAACAATGAAAACAGGCATGCAGAGTCTCCTTTGAGAGGCAAGTCATTGCTGGTAGTACAGTGCATGTAGTAGTTGTCAGGTTAGCATCATGAGACAATGCTCTTCTCTGAAGAGCCAATATATTAAATCACAAGGGGACATCTGTTCAAGGGGTGGTTTTGTTTTTAAAAAAAAAGAAGAAAAAAAGCACCAACACCTACAAGCCAAAGTATCTTCCCTGATGTTCTGTTTTTTTTACTACACAAATTATGACAGACAAGCACAGTTTGGAGCTTCACTTGCACCACTTTATAAAAGGAGCTACAGCGTCCGAAACTGCGAGCAGGAGGAGGGAGGTTTAGATCCCTGACTCCTCTGTGATAAAGACCCCACTTTTCATTGGGTAATGTCCCAGAGGCCGGTCTACAGGTGACACACATTCATCAGCACACTAACTGAAACCCTAGAGAGACAGTGGAGACTTTAACCTTGTCACTGTCTGAGCAGAGCTGGAAGAAGGGAAGTGAAGGGCAGGGAGAGGTGGCACAGAGTAAGAGAAATAAGGTAAGTCTGGCAGAGGACAATCATTAAGTGTGCCTGGCAGACATTAGTCGTTGTATAAATCATCACCAGTGGACTATAGGGAGAACTTGACCCTGGCCACAAATTCTGGAAAGGAGGATGTGGAACAAAAAATGTCAATGACAATATACATAGTGATCTATGGATGGTCATTTACTTTGCCCCTGGTGCAGAGCCAGAAACTGGAATAATTTCTAACTGTCTTTGAGTTCCCATTAAAGGTAAACTTGCAATAAAAGACAAATGTTGTTATCCTCAGTTTGACAGGACACTTGCACTCTTGATAACTTACATCTGGGATGAAGCCAATCTCATTTAGATGGTTGCTTAGCTCTGGGTCATGGAAGGCGATCATTTGAGAGAAGACAGTCAAGTACTCTGAAACACAGGCAAAAGGGCAAAAGATCTATTTAAACTCTACTGCAACATGTGCACTAAAACGTGAAACGAAGTGAGTTTGAGCAAGGAGGACTTTACAGTAAGAGAAAAAGCAAGAGGCATTGCGAAATACATAAACCTGTGCTCATGCGATGAGATCTGATCCTTTAAGATAATTTAGTGGACCATTTTCTGTCTCGTGATAAAGAAATGTGGAGAAAAGTGGAGATTTTATGACTGTTCTCTTTTTTTTTCTGTGGTTTTCACGATCAAAAAAAGTCAGAAACCCTCAAAAGTTACAGGTAGACTGCTGCTGCAACCTTGGAAACTAGCCTCTGTTCATTTCGAATGGAAACTCAAGCAGCGTAATGTTGTGCTACCGCCATTCTTCACACTGTAAGTCAACAAAGGAGCTCTGACCAGACAGATAAACATTAGCTAGCCTTCCAGGACATCTAGCAGTGGAAAGAAATGATAATAGCCACATTCCCCACAGAGTTCAAGAGGTGTATGTTGTAGCTGTTTATCAGTCACGTAGGAATTGCTTGTGACATTTCTCTGCAGGCTTGTGCGGTTTCATTTGTTTCCCTATCTCCAAATGATGTGGCTCAGCTGCAAACTCCATTAAGACAGACTGAAATTAGTTTTCACAGCTTAGGAGCAACATGGAGCCAAAATTTAATCAACACTGAGCTGACGGCCTGATGCTCTGTGCCAGCAGATGTTAATTTGTTTTTGAACTTAGCTGAATGCTCTGACCATGTTTAATACTTATTATTTAACTTCCAGTGGCAGTTGACTACATTAGCTCAACAACACTGGATTTCTGAAGTGGAAACAGGTGATATCGGAAAAGGGAGCAGTGTGTAAAACGTATTACAATCAGAACAAAACAAGAAAAACAATGTTTTTCAGATCACAGTACTTTATCAATGTGCAAAACACAGTAGAGCAGAAACAACTTTTCCATACACAAGAAGTAGTATATCTCACCTTGGATGACATGAGAGTTGTCCTTCAGGAAAAAGTTGTACAAGTATTTGGGGATGAATGCAGACATGCAGGCATACGCCAGGGCTGTGAGGAGTAGGACATAAGAATGAAGGTTGAGATAAAAACATGGAGCAGTAATAGTGGTGAGCTATTTAACAAGTCTTACCTTCATTGTTGAAATTCAAATAAAGGAATGGAGCACAAAGTGAATCCAAACCTGAAATGAAAAGAAAATTAAAACAGTTCATAATAATAACTTTGCTGTAAGGTCACACAGTTGTACCTGGGGGGCAAAGTTTAGAAGATGTGACATGACCACCATCTAGTGTCCAGTCATGTAAAGCACAATGAGCAATCGTGCAAATGGGAGAGAGAGAGAGAGAGAGAGAGAGAGAGAGAGAGAGAGAGAGACATGGGAGAGTGTGACAGTGAAAGAGATTGACAGGGGAGCGACTGACCCTGCCAGTAGACCAGGTCAGGGTGAGAGACCACCCAGGCTTTCAACACACGCCTGAACTTGATGTGGCCCTGAGGAGAAGACAGCAGCTCATCATACTGGTGGCAGCGTGGGATATCCACCTCTATCTGTAAACATGCACCAGGCGCGGGCACATGCACACATACACACACATACACACACATACACACACATACACACACATACACACACATACACACACACACACACACACACACACACACACACACACACACACACACACACAGACAAAATGCTTGGATGAAAATTTCAATTTAAAAAGTGTTATGTAAATAAATGATTTTGCTGCTATGTACATTAAAAATGAAAAAAAAAACAGCTACCTGTCTGTCAGTTGGAATGGGAGTATCCTTGTCTATGGTCTCATATTTGGCTTGGATGTCTCCCTGTGTGAAAAAGTAAGATAAGCGGCTGCCCAAAACAAACTTAAAGCCCGGCATTTTCTCGACACACGACTATACATTTCTCTCTTACCTCAATACCCAGAAGCGCAGCCCACGCCAGTCCTCGAACAAGTGGGGGAATATCCACTCTGGCCTCTTTCCACATTAGGTTCTTCTTGTAGGGATAGGCCTAAAGACAAAACATTGAACAAAGAATACATCACTCAGTTTTAATTCAACAATGACCTGTTTAAATAATAATTATTCTAAATACAGGAAAGGTTCGAGCACTTTTAGGCACTGGGATGGCACTGGTAAAAACATTTTCCTGTGCGCATCATCGCATGTGCGTGTTCAGTGCTTGCAACTTAAAAGTGTGTGCATGTGTGTGTTTATGAATTTGTATGAAGCCCTGACCTTGAGCAGCCTGTCAAAGAGGATGATGCGGATGAGTTGGTACTCTGTGTCTCTCTCACGGATGATGAGTGGCAGCGTGACGGTGGCCGACAGCTCATGGCTGCTGTTAGATTGGGACAGACTTGACTGTCTGAAAGAGGGAGAAGGGACTGTAACAATACTGAAGCCAAAACAAATGATGGGGAGACGTGAAAAATAGTGACAAGGAAAGAGAAGATGACAGCAGTGGGTTAAGGATGGAGATGGCTTACTCATCTTCCAGCAGAGGGTAATAGGCTTCTCCTGCTACATCCTTCAGTCTCTGGATAAGGCAGAGAGAAACTCATTTTTAAAAACTAATGCTAGGTTCTGTTACGCAGACACCTTGTTACGAAACACCCAGATTCACGGCCCAACTGTGTTTTTCACCCATTTCTGGGCACATTTCACAAACTTAACTACACAAATATTGCATTGTTTATGGCACAGTTCTGTCAACATGTGTGATTAACAAGCACTTATTAATTGAAGAGAATTCCAAGTTGACAATAATGAAAATTTTCTCAATTTATTTATTATATATATATTCACTATAAACATCAGAAATCACAGACAAATGTCCGCGGCTTCCCTGGTGACGTCTTCAAATGTCTTGTTTCGTCTGACCAACAGTCCAAAACCCAAACATACGCAGTTTACAGTGATGGTAAAACGAGGAAAAGCATCAAATTCTCAAATTTGAAAAGCTTAAAAAAACTGAAACAATTAATAAATTATCAAAATAGTTGCCAGTTAATTTTATTTTGATCTACTCATCAATGAATCAACTATTCTTTGCTCATTTGCTTTCTTCTCAAATTGGCTTTAACACTAAGTACTGGATGCAGAGTATCACTTTCTACCCTTATGCACAATACCTCGATTTACATTGTACATGTATATGTTTTTGTTGTCTTACATTTCTGAGTTGGCACAGAGACAGTGTCACTGTTGTGTCATCTAATAAGAAACTCCGATCCCTGCCCTGGCCGAATGACTCCCCGTCTTCCAGGACAAAACTACAGAAAAAAATTAAATAAAAATAAATAAGCAAATAAATAAATACATAAAAACCATATGTGAGTATGAAATTAACAAGAAAATGCACTTGTGTGTGTTTATGTATGTGTGTGATTTACTTGGGCAGTGTGCAGATTGGAGGTTTGGACTGTATGATCTCCTTATTGGTCAGCTCCTTCTCAAGGTCTCCCCCAGCCAGACACCACAGATGGTACACCTCATCTATGGCCCGCTCTGACAGGTAGTCTTCATCATCATCTAATAGCGCGCGCACACACACACACACACACACACACACACACCAGTAAACACCTCCCCACAGGCACAGGTGGTGCAGTATCAGCAAGTTGAATTAAGAATTCATGACATCAAGAAATACTCAGTCATATAGCAGTGGTGTACTCTTTTAAGAATATCACAGCAATAAATTTAACTTATGACATTTCATCTGACACCTGTGCTCATGCTGAATGCTCAGTGTATCTCCTATCCACAAGATAGTCCCTGTGTGCCTTTCATTTTTTAACCCTGTTTAATGTTAGGTACCCTTGACATTCAGTAGGTTTCACAGCTTTTAGAATGAAACAAACTAAATTATGTGCAATTTCTTGAAATAAGAGGCAGGAGCAAATGTACAATGTCATAACATGCAAAAATACAAATGAAGCTGCAGTAAGGAACTGATTAGTATTGAAATTTAATACAATTATCTTTCAGTCCGGCTGTCTGGTGCTTGGAATAAAAAAAGTACAAAACTCTATGTTCAAAAACAAGAAAAAGATGTTGTGATTAAAGGTTATTTGAGATATCAAAAACATCTTCAATATTAAAGAGGATTCTCACAGTTAGAGTAGATGTTTTGACCCTTCTTGACAAATCTGTCTGCTGCTACTGTCAAAACTGATGCTGACACGCCCAATTAAAGCTACTTCAAGATCATCAATTTCAACTCATCAACAACAGTGTTCATGCTGTGCATGCACTGCACAGTTGGGTGTAGTTTGGGCAGACCTTTGCAAAGGTCACTGATGTCTTCTGGAAGCTCCAGATGTGCACAGCGCAGGGAAGAGGAGAACAGGCTAACAGGCTTCTGGAAGGGCGTATAGCGGCATGAGACCCCACTGAACACAGGGTCACCCAGCAGCTCTGCAGGGGTTGGCCTGGAGGATACACGCAAAGACTTCCTGGTCATAACAGCAACATATCCAAAAACATGTAAAAGAAACTAGAAACTATTATATTAAGTCATAAAAAGTGTTTATCACAGCATCAGCCAATAACTTGCTTCTGTTTATTCTGGTATCATACAACTTGTTGGTTTTAGCGTGCTGGAATCCTCTCTGACATGTACGCTGCGCAACTACTTCATAACATGTGTGACCAAAGTGTTTTGGGAACCTAAGCGGCCAATGTCCTCCAACAGGATATGACATCAAACAGAGAGTGTATTTACCTTTTGGATGGAAGAAAGGTCAAGCATTTCCTTAATAACTCCACAACATTCTCAGGCAGCTGCTGTAAAAATGACAACACATATAATACGTATAATGACAGAATACAGACAGATCCCATATAAACTGCAAATAATCTAAATCAAGAGAGATTTAAAAGTGTTTCCACAAACCTTTGAAACTTGATCTGTGTAATATGTTTAAAAACAATAAAAAAGTACTGTGTAATTCTGACTTACTGGAAATGATTATATTTGTATATATATTCAGCACTGGGGATTGGTGAGTGACACAAGACAGTGCTTACATACAAATAACCCAGATCATTTGGAAACACCTACAAAATCTATTTATTACAGGGCTGGATATCAAACATCAACACTTTTGAGTACTAACCGTAAAATTAGGGACTATATGAAAATGACAAGTATCATTAGGTCAAGTAAAGTTGGCGTCAAATGTTCTGTCAGATTCTGAGGTGCTGTTGAATTGTATTACATTACAATAGCAGGTGTGCCTCTTATTTTGTCCATCCCAGATATAATAAGCAGGCTAGGCTAAATAACAGACAACTCTCTGCATAAAGCAATACTAAAACTACATCCTCCAAAAACAGCTGAATCAACACCTCTGTGAAACATAACCGTCATGAAGGGAGGATTTACTGCATTACTGCTGCATTAGACCACATTAGTTTTAGCTAAGTGTACCTAACAAACTGCCAACTGAGTGTGTAATACAATACCTTAGTTCAGGTACAGACACTACAGGTACAGATAATATCGCAATGTCAATAATGTGACCTGATTCTGCTGTAATGGCTCTTTCCTTACAAAATGCCATTAAACACGACTATCAATTAAAAAAACCTTCATATATAATATAACTAAGACTGAGGCAGTCAATGATTTTTACTACCTTAATTGTATCCAGGCATCCATGTTCCTCTGCAAGGACAGTGACAATGTCATCCATGCAACCTGAGAATGACAATATCACAGCGTCAGCCTAATTGAGCTTAAGAGCATATTGCTCAGTATTTAATATAATTACGCCCTTTTCACTTACCCAAGGTTAGAATGAATTTCAATCTCTCACTTATATCAATATTCTGCAGCAGTCGTCTGCCCTGTAACAGATTCACAGCATTCGATTTTAAGGTGAAAATAATCCACAGCGCATGAAATTCAGGCAAAACCCAAACAGCATAAAAAGTCTGGTTTGAATGTTTATAATAGTATTTGTTGGACTCTTACTGCACACAATTCAAAGAGCAACACCCCAAGTGACCAGACATCAGTCTTGGGTCCTGAGGGCAGAGGTGATTCATCATGGGAAGGGTCACTAGGGTGGAAAGAGCCCTGAGCGATCACCTCTGGAGCAAGGTATGATGGGTATCTGAGGTCAAGATCACAGAAAAGAGTAGCACATTACTTTGTCAGCCTCTGAATAACACATAGCAAATACTTAATCCAGCAATCTAAACAGTGCTGATTCAAGTTACACAACAATAACTATGTAAAATAATCATGTTGTTCACATCTTTGTCATTAGGAGATGTATGTAAAGTTATTCCTAAAAACACACATTACTGTTTGACAGTTACATTCATTACATTTTCCATCCAGATGTTTTGCTGAAAATTCTGGGCACATGCCACCATTCCTCTTTTCAATTTGCAAAAGGATATTACACAGAGATACTTGGTAGAACACAAAGGCCTTTGGATTAGGATAAAAGTCCAACAATCGGTTACAGTTCCTCAACCAGGAAGCAATTTTGATGCCCCAAAACCTGGTTTCTATGAAAAAGGATGAGCAATTATGCATCAATGTTATGGTCAATTGCCTTTTTCCATTATCTGACTAACATCAAACAGATACAAGTGAACCTTCGACCCTGAACAGACAGCTCAGTCCAACCAGCTGGAGAGTTCCAGAAGAGCATTAATGAACCTTTCACTGTGATAAATGAGGGGAAAAAAGACGTACCCAATGGGAAAATCTACATCAGCCCCATGATTAGTCATGTGATAAAGGCCAAACTTTGCCAGCTTGACATTCCCCTACAAAGAAAAAACCCATTTTAGAGTGACAGTAATGGACAGACATTCAGACATACTGTACATAAAACAGCTCAATTTGAGGGAAACGGTACCTTGCAGTCCATCAGCACATTGTGTCCGCTGAGGGCTCTGTGCACCATACCATGTTTGTTCATGAACTCCAGACCTTCAAGGACCTCAAAGGCTATCTGCAGCACCTTCTCTGGGCTAACACAAACGCAAATACACTTGTGTGTCAAACCTTTTTGAGGGTCAGGGGCTGACTGGGTCAGAGAAGAGATATGTGGGAGAATATATCTACATTTTAAACACCCAAGTATGAAAATCCCAATATACTGTTGTTATTATGCAAACCTAACCTCTGCCAGTAGATGGCAAGGTTAATGCATACAATTTCCCTGCCCATCATTTACACATCACATAGTTTATCAACACTAGAAGGTTTAGCAATAACTGCTCACCAGTGAAAGTGGACTTTCGGTTCGTGACATTTACTCTAATTACAGCTGAATGGTTAACAAAGGTGTGTAATGACAATCTCACCAGGCAGTTTTCCCCTGTTTTTGGAAATCGCTTAAACTGCTTTCATAGTGTTCAGCAACAACAATCAGCCGTTCTATAAAACAAGGAGAAGAAGAAACCAAAGTAAAGAAATGCAACTGAGTTAGGAAACATTTATTGATATTTATCTATAATTAGTAAGCATGTGTGTTTTTTGACACTGTGTCATAGAAGTTTTGACTAAGATTTTATAATAATTTAACAGGCTGTCATATGGTTTTGTTGAACTGCAAAAACTGCAGTCTGACACAATGTTATTGTGTCCACCTTTTGTAAATGCAAAGCTTTCAACAACAGACTCAGTGAAACACAACAAACATGCATTCCACATCAGGAACGAACAGCAACAAGATGAAACGGGATAAAACAAGACTAGAGTGTTGGCTTAGAGAGACATTTCTACCTTGATTGCTCAAATAAAAAGGTAATTTATGTTTTGGATAAGTTCAGTGAAAATACACATCAAGGACAGAATATCTCTAACTGAAAAATGAAATAATATGACATGTGATGCAATGGAAGGACAACATCATTAGACCACTACCAAAGGGCAAGACAGAAAGTCATACCATGTTTCCCTCTGGAGATGTCCACATATTGGCAGAGTCTGGGATGAGTGATGGTCTTGAGGATCTGAAAGCGTCCCAGGATTTTGATGGAGTTGGGAGTGAGAGGGAGGCCATTGCTCCCACACACATCATGAGGGAGAGCTGAGGCAAAAAAGGTGAAGGCCCCCAGCTGAGCGTCTTTGAGGGGCCTCATCCTGCCACTGGCTTGAAGCACTGAGGATGGGAAAGAGAGTCTTCAATACAATGCATGAATAATATAAGAGATAATACACATGACTATGAATGACAGGAGCATTCTTATCATCAGCACAATGGGGTATATGAAAATCCAGTTTCCCACTTATTCCATCCAGTGTTAGCTAAAAACATTAAAACTGCTTAAAGCTTGTAAATGTGTTAACGTTGTCTGAGGCAAAGACTGTCGTTAGAGCAGGTGACAGGTTGACGCTGTCATTGTAATTACAACATATTTACATCATACAGTTGAGATGCATAGCAACTTCGGGAAAGAAAACACACTGTGCTAAACCCACGGTGTATGTAGCTAAGTTATGAATATTATTGCCTTATTAACAATCATGTAATGTGCACTGCCTCCGAAGAAATGTATGTACTCACGCTTAACAGGAAGGCTGCATAGTTATGTCGACAGATTGAACTTGAAGTAATTAAAATAACAAAATATATTTTTAAATGAAATCCTTTCCTGCCTCTTCGATGTGATGGGAACAGCTGAGTGAACGTGATCGTCGACGTCAATTTTGTGCGACAAAGTAGTGGATACAAGACGCTTTCCAGAAGAAAAAAATTGCTTAAATCAGCCAAAATGATATTTATGCAGAGTTGTTCGTGAATTGATATTTCGTTATTTTTTGAACACATGAATTCTCATTCTCGTAATTACACACAGGCGATCGCCGTTTCTGCCTTGCATTGTGTGTCGACCTATAGAACATGTGGCCAGCGAACGGGGAGGGCTTAACACTCCTGCTTCACATCCGGATGGTGAAGAGATCTACCCGCTGGGGGCTTGAATTAGCCTCTCTGTGGCTAGCTAGTCTAACACTTGCAGCTGTCAAGCCCCCAGCGCTGCCTGAAACGTGTTGGGTCTGCTGCTCATAGTCAATGTAAGTTTTTTGTGTTTGTTTTTAAAGCCTCTGTGTTTTATTTTAATGCGTTAACTAACTATTGTTGTATTTGAATCGTGAGCTGTCAGTAACGTCTGAGGAACCCTCTAGCTAGTGCCTTACCAGCGACAGCTACATGACAGTAAATTGCTTACTGATTTAACTGACGCAACGCGAAGTAATTTTAAATTCAGTGTTTAGCAATCTGTTCTCAACAATACACATTTAAATCTAATTCAGTGATTAACACAACCACGATCTGGAATAAGATCATTCTTGATTGATTACTTTGATTTGCAAATGGCTGAAACTACAGAGGTAATAATCTTTATCAGTACTAAACTAGGGCTGCAGCCAACGAGTTCAGTTTCAATATTGAATAATTATGTGATTTTCATCTATCTTTAAGGTTAAAATAAATAACAAGATTATTATTTCTTAAATTGTGTATTTCGTCCAGAAAGAGTCCAGACACCCAAACGTGTTCAAATTTTATACAATTGTATTATAAAGTATAAATAAAATAAATCATGACATTAGAGAAACAAATGATTAATAAATCATCATATTTACAACAGAAAAACATATTATAAACATATATTACATATTATGTTTTTGTCCATGATATCTGACTTAAGCAATTAACCATCAAAATTATCATCAGTTCATTTTATGTCTGTATATTAATGGGACTTTATAGTAACACTCTAGTACAGTGGTTCTGAAAGTTTTTTTTCACATCAAAAACCCCTAAACTGACACAAATTTGACCACCATTTGATGACACTTTTTCCCAGGGTCCCCCATCGCATAAGATTTTTGCTTTTAAATGTTTTATTACAGAAAGTGTTTGAAACCCATGACCAAAATAGGCATATTCTGCTATTCTGTAGTAGATTCAGTATTTTAATATGTTGACAAAATATGGCCACACGTGATGGCCATTTGACATGTTATTTAGATTTTATAATTTAACCAATAATAGTTATATAATCTAAAATAATGAAGACAAATGCTGAATTGAGCATTTGTCATCGGGGAGAGTCCTTGCCTTCAACTTGACAATGCATTATATTTTGACTGATTACATCAAGTGCCCTGTATGTACAGCTTCTGTCTGTTGACTTTTTCAAACTCAAATTATTGCTGGGCTGCGATTACAACTACATAAAAAAATATCAATTATTTTTTCTTGGCTGCCAAGCATGCCTGGGTTTTATCCCTTTAGAGGCTGAATATGCGGAGGGCACATACATCTTGAGTGAGAGCTACACATCTCATAAATTAAAATGTGTAAGTCCTTGTAATGCCTTCAGGTGGTGCTGGCATACTGCGCTGACTTTTCTTTCACAATGGTCTGGCTGGCAGACAGGTAGGGAACTCTCCTCCTACAGTGTGTTTTTACTGTGGGAATGGAGCATAAAAAGAGGAAACACTTGTCTTCTGGTGGGTCTGTTCACACACCACCACCGCACCAGAGAAAGCTGGTGGTTAAATGTAACAAATTTACAGATTTGATTCAAACCACATGTGTACCCAGTGCATAGCTATGCAGCCTTACCTTTGATATTTTAATTTGAAAATAGATTTAGACATAAAATGTCTGTGTGAACTGCATGACTAAAATAACAGTCATGGCTGTTTTTAGTAAATTGATAAGAATGCAAGTAGGCAGCTGCCTTCTACCAGTTGAACACCAGCTGTCCTCTGTTTAGTGCAGTTAACCAGCTAAATTTATACAGTTGCAAACCAGAAAATGAATCAAAGATATATTTAATTCACATACAGTGAAGACAGGCACATTAGGCAGGCTGAAGGCCAGTGAAAGCTCACGTCACTTTGATATTGTTAACACATTTGACTATTTCCATCTGAAATTCAAAGTTTCAACGACCTCTTCATGTTTTAAATGCTACGGACCATACCTCGGCCCCAGGACCCATTTTCAGAGGTTATCCAAATGAGATCAGCCTTTTTGTGGCTCTTGTTATTACTCCACCACTGGTCCTGTTTAAATCAATTCAGTTTCTCTAAAAACAATGCTTTGATCCTTGATTTTATCAACTCCAGCTCTTTTGTGTTTCTAATTTCCTCATCCCCCAACATTTTGTTTTCATCTTGGGCCAGCTGTTGTTTTCCAGCGCCTCCCTGTAATATGTGTAAGAAGTTTTCTTCTCCATGCCTCCGCCTGTAAAAATCTTTCTTTTCCTCTTTCTTCAAGAAGTAATTTGCCATGCTCAGTAAGACAAAGGAACATAACCCCAAACCCAAACTGATGACCAGCTGTATTTTGGTTGAGTGGCACAAGAATGGCTGATCCCTTTTTGAACTTTAGCTTCAAAATTGAATGTATAATGTAATGCTAGTATGATTTTAGATTATAAATCTGAATGTCACATCAACACGTGTGAAATGACATACCACCACTGTGAAAGACAATGGACCTTGTCAGGGCTTTTATGTGGTTTTTAAACTCTGAAATGTTGCAGCAATATCAGTTTTATGAAAATCAACATGTGTTGATTATCTCTCAACATGCCTTGTGGACAGAGGTCACTTTGAAGAAGCAGCAGAACTATATTTGTCATGAAAATTGCATTAACACATCATTTAAAATATACTGGGGCTGTATGTCATGGAAAACATGTCAAAGTATGATTGTTCTTTCAGACATATTTAAGGGATAATTTAGGATCCACAGTGCCTTATTTTCTATTTAGGAATACAGTATTAAACAGTAGTGAAGTAGTTGAAATTCTGCCTCAACATATAAACAGTGTATTATGGAATATTACACAAAAATAGGAAAACAAACAATGTAATGTAATACTATAGAAGAACCCTGTAACACATACCACCTTTGTCGAAATTACAATGCCCACTTTTTGTTGAGACTGTCAGAGAGAAGTTGACTCTGCTCTGTGGTCATTTCGGAGGCTGCAGTTTGTGGTGGGGTTGTACTGGAATGCAAACCTTGTAACTCCAAACATGTATCTTTTGTAGATGTTCAGCATGGTACTTGAAAATACCATCTCTTTTTGACTGGACCGCAACAGCAGGGCCCAGCCCTATAAACACGAATGTCACTGACAGACTAACTGACTCATTGACTGACTGACTTATAAGGTTACACCATTGTTGGACTTTCAGCATTGGTCATTGCCCTTTCAAAATGATTTGGCACAAACTCTGTGTTGCCAACTTACCTTGCTCTCTTAACCTTCATCAAAAAAATACCTAGCGACAAATCCAGCGAGTTTTTGGACAAAGCTTAACTACTTTCCATAAAAGAGAGCCGCCAGTATTGCCCCTGAAGCATGTGCTCGGGCTTCCATTCGCAGACAGATCTCTCTATGCTGACTGCATGGCAGCTGACATAAATGAGCTTTTAACTTATTTCTCTGAGTGATCATTTTACAAGTAAATGTAGCCGATGTCACAGCACAGCCATTGTCTTTAACTTATGTGAATGTTGATTTTGTCAGATTACATCATTGTTATAAAATTTTAGGAGTGCAGAGCAGCAGCTTGTAGAAGGAGAAAAGCATGTAAATTAATTTGGAATTCAACTGTGTGTACATTTTAATATATATATATATATATATATATGTGTGTGTGTGTGAGCATAGAGAGTAAGGGCACTAGGCAGAATGCAAATGTAACACGGTCCAGCCATATACTAGGTTTTGACCTAGTCTTGTTGTCTTTCTTCATAGTGTCACACAAGTTGATTTTAAAGGGCGAGTTACTAAGTATTCACTATACATGAGCCCTTACTTATATTTAAAATGAAAGGAAACATACTCCACATATAAATCCCAAAGGAATCACTTTAGTGTATTATTCAGCCTTAATATCTGCTTGTTTTCATCATGCAGTTATAGTGGTGAGATGGCTATAAATCTTTATCGTCTGTTAGGTTCCTGGCTCGCTCCTTGTTCAAGATGTCAAGTCACAATCCTTTGTTGAGGCTGGAGCAGCGAGCAGCTGAGGCAGACCAGATCATCGAGTACCTCAAACAGCAAATCCAGCTGCTGAAGGAGAAAGCCAGTAAGAGAACGCCACACACTGACACCCAAACACAACAACCCTGTCAACAAATGAGAGGCATATTAGGAAAGCGCTATATAAATGCAGTCCATTTACATAAAGTTACAGTTTCATTTTATCTAGATAAAGGCTATATGAGGAAAATTTCCACAGGGCCACTAGCAAGTATATGAAACCTGAGGCCTCAGACTAATTTGTGAACTAAATAACACACTTCTATAAAACTGAGGATAATTTAAATGGTCACATCAGTCAAATCTACAATTTTGTAGATTTACTAGAAAATAAATAAATGTGTTGAAGGGAAGATAGGCTATATTTTTCGTGCAGTTGTTTAAATAATAAATATCTATCCTTGAATATCCATCTCCATCATCCCATATCCTTCAACACTTTGAATGTTATCACCTGCACAAATTGAGAAAGATTAATTATACCAAGGGTCGAAAACTGTATTAGTTCACAATTTCATGACGTCTTTAAGCCCAGAAGACTCACAATATTGATTTCAGCAGTCAACATATTTTAGTAAGTAATATATTTGTACTAGTTAAACGGTTCTTAAAATGCCCTGTGGGAAGTTGAAATTTAATTCCTGTGCTGTGGTAACAAGAATTTCCCTCACTGCAGTCGTCCAGGCCAGTGTCAGAGAAGAGAAGAAACTGATGGTGGAGAATGCGAAACTGAAGAATGACATCGAGGAACTGAAAAAACAGCTGCTGGAAAAAGAGAAGAGGAGGGGAGGTATGCTGAGTTTGGTTCCCAGCAAAGACTTCTTTGCAGATCAAATGTTTGTTTGTCTTTTAAAAAGACCTTGATGTTGTTATCCTTTATATCGAGTTATAGAGGCAGTTGTGTGTGCCTGACTTAGGAACGTTTGATGTCAGTTGTTGCTCATTAGAGCATTGTTTGGTTTGTACTATCAATGATAACATCTCGTACATTCTCGCTTCAGCCCATTATAACTAGATCTTTTTTTGTTTTTATTATAAGCAACCATAGCGCCTCAAGAATCCCCATTAGAGTGATGGGGACAACATGTCTGTCAGCTATTGTGCGTCTGACATACGTTCAAGGCCAAATAGCTCAGATCACACACATTAACACACATTTAATGTTTTCCAGAAAGAAGCTGCAGGAATAAATGGGGGACTGGAAGAAATAAGCAATTTAACCTTATTCAAAAGCACTCAATATGTTAGTGTTGGAACGTGGAAGGAATGTGTTCCAATACACCCGGGGCTGTGTTTTTCCACATATTGTATCTAATTGTGATGTTTATTTTTGGGGTTTCTTTTCAATGGCTTTAAGGTGGCATAAAATAGCTCAATCAAAACACAGATAAATATGAACCTTTTTGAAAGGAATTTCAGCTTTGCTGATTTGTTATTGAGATGAGAAAAACAAACTAGTCAATGTGACTATAATAGTAGCCAGTCAGAAAAACAACTTTTCCAACGCCAAGGAATGAAAACGGTGACAATTGAAGTTCAGTGTCAAATTTGTTCCAACACCATCTTAAAGTTGAAAATCTGTGGCTCCTTTAAACTGTATCATGCAAACAAGCATTTTTTTTTTCAAACCCAAAGAATTTATTGCTCCATTAACTTTTTGGACCCACTTGATTTGGTTGTCCTATTATTATCTAATGAAGTTACAAATTGAAAATATGAGTACAAACACTATACAAGTCCAAGTGTAAGTTCAGTACTCTCTTCTTTTTAGCTTTGTTCTGGTCTCCACCAAGTCCAGAGGGAAGTATCTGTCTCTTCAGCTGCTAAATGCTCCACTGTGTTCACTGGCTAGCCCCTAGCTTTGTCTGTCTGTCAAGCAGGTAGTTTACAGTGGGTTTATCTCAGCTCTTTCACTGAAGCAACTGTCTGCTGCACTTGGCAACCTGTTTGATGAGAGTTGAGTTTTCAGATTCTAAAAACCAAAACGATGAGGTAAAAGAGGACTCCATTGTTATAATTACAATGTTGATTTGTGTAGCTTTAATTAAAAATTTGCATCGAGATCTAATGTATCTAGAGATTCCAGACATGCCTAGCTTGATCTTGGGAAATGTGCATAAAGTAATGTACAAGATATCTAGATAAAATCCATTTGACGTAATGATGTAATTATATTTTTAAAAATGTGACATCTTGGGGTTGCTCGCTGTAAGTATCATTATGTGATATCACAGTGTTTTTTTGTTTTTTTTTTCTCTAAATGTAAAAAGCCTTGAGAGGAAACTTAAAGTGGAATGTCAAGAGTTTAAAAGGTTATTGCCCATAATTCCAAGGTAAACCGGAAAGGTCCTGATCTCAGGTCTTAACATACAATTAAGGTAATTAAAAGCATTATGGTGATGGTGGTGTGCCTGCAGGCCGATGTTTGTCAGACACAGGCACAAGATTTTGTAGGAACTCAAACATCAGGCGCCTTAAATGAGGGGTTATTTTTTTCAGGGGAGTTATTGTAGGACATTGTTCCTTGCTTTATGGCTCCATTTCCTTGTTTCCATCAGCTTGGACACTGTGTCATTTTCCCATCAAAACTGTTTGCATCAGGAGAGCAGTCCTCCCACTTGGTGTGTAAATAAAGCTCCCTCTGTATCATTTCACCGTATTATGTTGATGCAACCAGCTCTGTGCGTGAAAAGGCCCGACTAAGAAGTAGTTGTGCTGTGCCCTTGTCTGTGCTTTCATTCACACGACAACTGAGAGAATGCCAGTCTGTGCAGAGAACATCAGTCATCACAGATGACTGAGAAAAAGTCTCTGATCGTAACCTTGATCCACTTTTTCACCCTTTCTTTGTACCAACATTTTGCATACATCCTTCCTGTAGTACGGGAGGTGGCCATGCCGTCAGGTGAACCCACTGTTGAATGCAGTTCGAAGCCCACCCTTCCCAAACCCACTGGTGCGGCACCCTCTGCCTCCCCTGCCGCTGCTGTCCAGAGTCCCGCTCCCAAGGACGAGAGTAAAAAGAAGAAGCCTGAGAAAAAAGGTAATGGCTGAATGAAAAAAATATGGCACATTGCAGGATTTTATTAGGAATCTTTTTGAAGTTTTCACATCCAATAAAACAGTTTTAGACGGTTAAATCAAGCCTGTTTAGACATGTTATAAAGCAACATTCTTGTCATGTGTTTCATTTTCAGTTTGCTGGCAGGATCAGATTAAAGCCATAAAAGTGACTCACCTCTCGCCACTAAGGGATTTACTCTGTCTTCATCAATATTAATTTATTGTTATTTTTTTAACTTGGGGTTTTGTTGAAGATCCAGTTTTCCTATCAGCACCTGGCTGGATGCAAATGTCATCTGACCTTCTCCAAACATGTTTCTCTATTTGAATTTCTAATATCAGGTGATAATGGATATAAGGCAGCAATATCTGCCTCTTAATGGATCCAAGATCTCCGGGCCTCAGTTTGAATATGTTTAATGAAGCTTCATTTGTTTGATGATTTGTGAGGAACCTTGTCTAATGTCACCAGCATATGAGAATGACTGACTATTCAGTGGATGTGCGTCATTCCAAGACCCTTATCATAAAAACCAAAGTATCCCTGTGTAAGAAGTATAAAGGAGTTAAACTGTTTGACTGTTTTACATTTATGATACGTTTAGAATAACGAAACAAAAAAATCCCTGGCACAGAATTTCAATTAATTAGCAACAAATCACTCAGATATTTAGTTCTGTTTCAGCAATGTGCTATCTGGGCTAATTAGAAGAACTGTCAGGCGTAGACCGCGTATAATCTGTCCTGGATGTGTTTATGAGGTTATGATTTAGAAAGAGGATGCAACAAGCAGTAAGACCCTGACAAATTCATTGGAGTGGCTGGTATTTCTCACATACAGATGTCAGAGAGCTGTTAATGAGAGATACTTACACCTCTTGATAAGCTATTGTACATGCTGAAATTCTGTCTTACTTTAATGGAGCTATGTTCTCACCTCATCCAAACAGTCATCACTTGTTAGTCTACAAACCGATGTGTAACCTTAGTGGAGTCCTGGTAATGTTACTGTCAACACAGCAGTGCAAAGATTACTCAAGGGAGGGATGTTGAATATCAAAGGCAGAGGGTTGGAACTTTAGAGTTGGTGTGGGCTCAGAGGAATGATTAAAGACTGTGTGATCATTTGATCAGTGCAATCCACTTGAATGAATGTGTGTAAGAAAGCCAGGCGAGTCAGTGAAAGGTACTTTGTCTCCTTGGGAAGAAGCATCTGTTATTCTGCAATGTCATTGTATCATGTAGCGCTCACCTTCAGCCAAAAGTGGGTATTGGTATTGTCATTTAGTTAGGCTATGTAGCCCATACTTCTGGGAAGAAGTGGAAAAGTAAATTAATTGTCTTTTCCTTAACATTTTACTTACTTCACATGAAACGCATGCCACCCTGAGGCCTGTCATTGGTGGACTTTGTTTTCATTTACGGGAGGAAATTAAATCAGATTCCAGACATATGCCCAGCATTGTTTCAGCTATGATTTGTTTTTATAATTTCCCTTGGAAAGATATCAGCTGGCTGAAATATGCTCAGTGCTTTTAAACTAACATTTTTTATAAAATCATGCACATTAAGTTTAATAGCATTTAAACTATCAGAGATGCCTCCCTTCAGAAAACCTTTCTTCAGCACACAATGAATAGCAGCTGTCTGACATTCTGTGCCGGAAATGCGCAACACCCAACCAAATTGTCATTACAAACTTTCACTGACATAGACCGAATTCAAAGCAGTGAAATGTGAAATTTCAAGGCAGGGTGTGACATTATTTTCTGCTCTTTGATGCCAGGAGGAGAGAAAGCAGAGAAAAAGCAGGCAGCTCCCAGCCAAGAGGATGCCAAGGTGGATGTGTCTCGTTTGGACCTGCGTATTGGACGTATAATCACAGCCGAGAAGCACCCAGATGCCGACAGCCTCTATGTGGAGCAGGTTGATGTGGGAGAGGCTTCACCCAGGACAGTGGTCAGCGGGCTGGTCAAACACATACCTCTGGACCAGGTACAATGTTAGTTGTTTAGATGTGATTAAAAGAAGTTAGAACTGGGATCTTTGTAAAGTGATGCATTGGCTACCTCTCAAGAATCTATCAAGATGTTTGCTGCATGCAAAGGTGAAAAAAATTTAAAAGTCACTTGAATGAAGTCACACACTGAATGTGCCATCAGGTTTCAGATTACAGGCCTGTAGTTGTCAAAAGCAACGCCTGCCAATAAGATAGCCATACTACACTGTCTGCTCATGAGGGAGAAAGATGTAGACTTCAAATTAGATTTTTATATTAGCTTCATAAACTGCTCTCTGCTTGAGATTCGTTTTCACTAGACGCAAAAGCACCGCTGTACACTTCCACATTCATGACTCACTATGGTCATAATAAGAATTTATTCATCTATTAAAAGTGACTTCTTGGGATGACTGTTCTGATTATTTAGTGGTCAAACACATTTTATGTTGGTGATTCACAATCTCCATCAAATATTAGGGTTTATTTTTCTTTCGTTTGGATCTGTTCCTGAAGAAAAACAATCTGTATGTAGGATTTCATCTGAATGAGAAGCACCAGTTACTTTTATGGTCGACAGTATTTCAGAATTTGTCTTCAGGTTTTTAGACCAGGAAGTCTTTTTATATTACTTTTCCGCATCATAGGTAGACAGTGCTCATCATTTAAATGTATGCCTGCTGAAATCATGTATACAAAAAACACAGTCGGACAACAGCAGCACAGTTTCTGTCATGCGCACAGACAAATATTACGCAGTTGTTTCTTCAAATCTAAGCGTGTGTTGCAGCAGTGGAATTTAGTATTACAGCCTTAAGAAGTGCTCTCTGAGTGCAGTGAGAAAGGTAGTGCTATTTGCTGCTTTATATGTGTCTGTCAGTACATTACTCATAGAGGAAATAACTCTAAAATCAAATTCCTGTTTGACTTTCTTGTTAACTGTCTTATTTATATGAGGCTTTATCTGTTTCTGTCAAAGCAAGCAGGAGGGGAATATCCGAGGAGATACATTACAAGTTTTCTGGCTGTGCTTTTGAGTGTGGATAAATATTCAGTAATACAAGACTGAGAAGGGCAAATCATAAAATAACAGTTAGGACAAGTGTCTGCAGTACACATGAAATATTGCTCAAGTCGAACAGTCTATTTTGTAAATACCGTTACAAAACATTCACACACTATCCCCAGCTTGCCAAAACTGCCTGCAGATGAAAAATGAAAACTACCACCAAAACTCTGTCAGAGCAACATGAGTGAGTTTAGATTTATGTTGCCATTTCCTAAAAGGATGTCCTTCAAAGAAAGGTATGATTATTTCTTAAGATCTGGCATACATCATCTGATGAAATGCTGGATTTCTCTTCTTCTCAGCTTTTGGCAGAAACTTACGCTTAGTCTTCCTTTAAATTTTGGTGAGCCACAGAGGTCTCCAGGCTCAAGCATCTAATGTTTTCCTGTTTGCTCTCTTTGGGTTATGAAATGAGGCAAACAAACCATAAACCCATTGGACACAATAATTTTAAAAGGAGAGACTGGTATTTGGCATTATGGTTTATATTGGATTATGAAATTCTCTGTCCCGAAGCCAAACAGACCACATCAGTTGAAGGTGTTTTTTTTTTTTTTTTCTGCTTCAGTAAATTGGGTATAATTTGTTGTTCTTCTCTATTGTGTAAGGCCTATGGACTGTAAAAATGTATTTAATCTTCTGTCCACTATGCAGATGCAGAATCGCATGGCAGTCCTGATGTGTAACCTGAAGCCAGCCAAGATGAGAGGAGTGGTGTCCCAGGCTATGGTCATGTGTGCCAGCTCGCCAGACAAGGTCGAAATCCTTGATCCTCCAACTGGAGCAGCACCAGGGGACAGAGTTACTTTCCAGGGCTTCCCAGGTACCAACACCCGATTACTGATTAATCATTAGCATAAATCTTAGATGTTCAAATCAGCCAGACACTCGTGATGCTTCATCACCACTGAGTGATTGTCATTGAGTTGATTCCACTGAAAGAATCAGTATCCACAAAGTACCTCTGTCTTTAGGAAATGAAGGGTGTCGTTGAACCTTCTGGCTGCCAGAAAAAACTTGCCATTTTCAACATACATCCCTCTGAAGACACCAATCATGATGCGTTCTCAGACCCCACTCAAAGCTCTCATTAAAGGAGTCCTCAGCTCTGTTTGGTGGTGGCTAAATGGCCTGTGACTGCTGATTTGACAGACTAATCATTGTTCATTGCTAGGAATCTAACCTACTCTTTTTTTTTTTTTTTTTTTTTTTTTTTATAGTCAGTTGGAAAGATAAGTTCTTAACTGTCCCGTTAAGTTCAACTAATGTAAACTGTTTTGAGAGAAACAACATGAACATACGAATGAACACATCAACTCGACCGTATGAGAATCAAAGTCCTTCGTGCGAAGTGGCGTGAAAAAAAACCCACCACCAAATCCAGTCCAGTGGTTCTAAAAGCTTTCCAAGCTGAATATGGGAAGATTGATTGGTCTTGTTATTGACATATTGTTTTAGAACAATAACCAAATTGGGAGATCCCTTTGAAAAAAATTGAAGAGGAGGATATGATGAAGGTGGATCTGTGGTCCAACCAAGTACCCACAGGAAGACTCCATCAGCCAAGGCTTTCATTGCTGCAGTACACATGTCCCAGCCACTCCAAAAGCTGGCCTGAATGATTTTTATGGATGCTACATTAAAAAATAAGAGTCATATTGAAACAATTCAATAAAAACACAGTTCAAGAGAAAACAGAAGTGGAAGTAGAGCAAAGACTGGATTGGTTGATTGTTTGTTTGTGTGGTGGGCTGTTTTCTTAAGTTAATATAATGGAAAATAAGGGGTGAAAGACGCTTGTCTTTTTCCTGTTTCCCTCTTTTCTCCCACCAGAGCCCTGTGGTATAGATTCACTTATAGAGCCACTCCACTGCTGGTGTGAATGTATGGTTGTAATTGCCCCCATTTGCCTGACTAATGGGGCCCAGTACTTCTGCTTGAACTTAAGAATGTGCGCAAGTTGCTCATCAAAATCTCTTTCACGCTTCTGATCAAAACTTGATTGTTGCCACTCTGGGGTTGTAAACCAGCAGAAATCACAGCCTTGGGATATGAAACACATTTGTGTCCTCATACCCTGAGATGGCTGTGCAGAGAGGAAAAAAGTTGACACCAGACAGAAGCCAGCCAGTACCGACTTTGAATTTTCACAAGTGCCAAGCAACATCAAAAAAACAAAGCCATCGTGAAATGAGAACTTCACTTAATTGTTTTCCCTGGATGCATATTTTGATTCTGAGTAGTTCAGTTTAGATGTTTTGAATTACAGCTAAGAACAAATGGCAGTTTCAGAAAGCTAATGTTGTAATAGAACATGGTAGATAGTCACACTATTCACCATTCATGTGGGAGGAATAAAATTAGAATTAGCCTGATAAATCATCAATATAACTGTTGGTCATTTGCTCACAATTTTTATTGGCTTCGGCTTGTTATATTGATTGTGTCAGTGTATGCTCAATGTGAAAAATCCATCGAGGAAAATTTAAAGTCATCCATCAATGTGTCTTAGCACTCCAATATTAAAACACTGTCTGAGTAGGTTATATGCGGGCATGACATACCACAAAAAGTTCATAAAACATCACCACTGGATCCATAAATCCTGCATGTGTGATGGATGACCAGAGAATGTCTAATATATCAATCTGACTTCTCCATTGCAGGTGAACCGGACAAAGAGCTGAACCCTAAAAAGAAGGTATGGGAACAGGTTCAGCCAGACCTCCGCACAGACGGCCAGTGTGTTGCAACCTACAAGGGAGCTGCCTTTGAAGTCGCCGGCAAGGGAGTGTGCAAAGCCCAGACCATGAGCAACAGTGGAATCAAATAAAACAACAGAGCTGCTTGAAATAGCTCAGTGTTTACTTGGCAATCACCGTCAGTGATGACAATGAGGGTTTTCAGAAACAGGATGGTGATGGATGGAAGTAAATGCTTTGAAGATCAATAAAGGGATTTAAGAATAAGAATCTGTCCTATGACAATCAGTCCTTTTTTGACTTCTAAAATATACAGTCATGGTCTATAAAGTGTAGTTAATCAATACAATTGTGTTTTTGCTTTAATTCTCAAAGTTTGTCTCTTCTCCTTGGGCACATTAGCTTGATTGTGCTTTGATTTTGAGGTTATAACTCTAAAGCATATATACTGTCCAGGACTTGAGCGAGCATCATTGGTTTCCACTTCATCTAGTCTCAGGAATTTTAATGAGCAGGAGATGAATTGGAGAAGTTTTACTACAAAGCCCAACAAAAACAGATCGGGTTCTCAAGCCCTTTGTAGAGGCTATTTAGATGGTACTCATCTCGGGCACTCCAATCTCCTGGCCCACTGTCATTATCTCAATCTAGGCTCTGTGATGCCAGTGCCATGTGCTTTGTTTTATTGTCCCCTCAGAAGAAAAAGTCCGTCCACCTCCGGAAGTATCGGACTACAATGAAGAAACAGACAGAGAGCTGTGCACCAGAGCCTCTAATGTTACATCACCAGTAATTAAGGCCATCCACTTTGCAAAAACATCTGTCATGGGTCAACTTCGACCATCGTGCAGAACTTGTGCTTACTATTTGAATCCTAATCATAAGTACTCTGAAAATGTCGCATAAATGCTAATGTTCAACCGCACGTTCTTCTTTTACTTCATGGAAGGAAGACAGATCTATTGTTATGTGTGATTGCATACCACCATGTCTTTTTTTAGATGCAAAGTGCCTCATAGAACTAGGCTATACATAACGCACAAACTCACACATTCACGTTTATCAGGCTCATTTAGCTGCTCAGTCACTGGGAATAAGTTGCACTCTCTCCAAACTGCCTCCTACAGGGAAGTAAAAGAATAGCATCAGTGGTACCACACCTTTATCTCTTGTTAGCTAAACTAAAATAATCATAGAGTATCACTGTCCAGTCTATATATGTATGTATGTATGTATGTATATATATATATATATATGAAATACAAATTATATCAATAACTCATGTCTTTTCCAGTGCTCTGCACCAGATACAGAACTAAGTCAGCGCATGTTCTCAGCTAACTGCAGTTCACATAACTTACATTTTGCACGTATGTAATGTAAAATGTGAAATGCAAACAGCAGTTGTTGAAATCAGTCGTAACTGTAATACCCATTGTCTGAAGGTGGCACAAGTGTTGATTGCAGAAGCCATTCCTCTCCTTACCTGTAGATGGCGCATATCAACTAACCTACAGCTGCTGCTGTTATTTTTGTTGCCAGTAGATGGCACAGTATGGATTAGAACTGCAGCTCTTAAAAAAGCCCTTGGGAAAAATATATCGGTTCAAGTGCTTCACATTAGTGATGATGTGTCATTATTTAATCATAAATACACTTATGTTGCGGCACAAATAGTCAACAACTACTTTTTAGGTGCTTGCCTGATTGCCTATCAGACAGCGTCCTATGATCTGTGTATGCTTTTTAAATTACCTCACATTAGCAGACGCTTTTATCCAAAGTGACTTACAAGTGATGGACATCACTGAAGCTTCAGTGCAGTAGGAGACCTTGGCCTAAGTACCAAGTACTACATCTATTCAAGAAGTGCAGGGAGAGGCTTTTAAATGATTTAATCTGTCCTCTCCAGGACCCCTATGCACTTAAAGTAAAAATAACTATTTAGAGATCCTCAAAGAGGAAAACCTTTCATTTTTGGGTTTAGATGACACAGACAGCTCTAATAAGTGACCTCCGCTGAAGCGTATTCTCACCTAAACCACATTGCTCTTTCGGGGTTTTCTGTGACCACAAGAAGTGTTGCAACCTGAGAGAATGCTCCCTCCAGGATATTTTGACTCAGACATTTGCAGACCACACGTTCCCCAACTGAATTTTCAGCTGTAAATGATGCGCAGTATGTGAAGCGGTGTCTGCACATATGTCATCCATATCTAACTGTAGATTATTCCTGATTATTCTGTGTGCTGACTCTCCAGTGGGTGGGCAGTTTTGGGGTAGTATGTAGTGATTTCACAAATAGCCGGCTCACGCATTGCTTTGTGATAACCCATACATCAAAACAACACCTTTTGCTTTTTTCATGTACAGCTGCTGCAACTATTCTCTGGGCTCTAGACATTGTTGATGGTTTGTTTTCAATGCCAAAATCTAAAATGAAGAAGACTTGGAGGTGTTGCTGCTTCATTATTCCCACCTCATTCTTTATCCTCCAAGATATTATGTCCTCAAAGTGACCTGAGTTAAGAAACAGGCCTTTATGGAGGTGGACAAATAACAAATGCAACACCTCAGACATTACTGAATATGAAGAAAAAGAGAAAGAATTTTGGAAAAACCCAAACAACTCTTTTGATGTGATGGAGCTTTATCCATCCATCTGAAAGCAGGATTTGGTGTATTGGTAACTATGACTAACAGGCAAATTTAATATTATTTTTTTCTAAACTTTGGGTTTGAAGTTCTACAAGGAACAATAAGGAAAACATTTCTCATTTTTGAGGCCAAGTCGTCAGTTTGTGGCAAAAGCGTGAAAGTCATACTATGACAGGTCTTTCAGAAGGAACGCAGACCTTGGGGGTAAAAGACATGATTCATATTGAACAGTATGATTTGTATTTCAATTTTTCAAGATCCGATTTGGTGTGAATCAAGACATTGTGTGTTTCTTGATTACTTCAAGACCCTCTGGGTGTGCGTCCTGTCAATTTGATGAATGCGTATTGTTTTGTTTTTTTGTTTTTTGGGGGGGGGGGGGGTTGTGTTTTACCCAACCTAACCCCAACCAATTTATTTTCAAAGATGATATATTAGCTGCTGATCCATTTCATTGTGTTTGTTGTGTAGCAATAATATTCCCCCATTCAAATTACCTTGAGCTGTTGGATCAATAGTGGCCCCATGTCTTGAACATAAGTAACATTATAAAAAATTTTACTTTTTACTTTTTAAGTAAATTCCTCACTGAGATTACGGACTTACTGAGTAACCACCATAAAATAAAAAAAAAACATGTAAGTAATTTATCAGTTAGGCTGTAATGAATTAATTTGATTGATTGTGACACCACACAATTTTATTAAGCCTGAATCTTAAATTCAGAAAGATTGTGTTTATAATTGAAAGAAGTAGCAAATACATTTTTCTGTGATAGTTTGACATAATCCTCAAAATCCTTCCACACTCCCTCATGGTAGGTGGTTGGAAAATGTGCTAAAATGTGACCAGAATTTAGACCAGATCAGAAATAAACAAACAACCAACAAACTATAATCATCAGCTTTATTTATCAATAGCAGTTGATGGACAGAAACATGTTTTGGGTGGAAAATGTTGTGAAGTGCTGAGGGAAAGACAAACCTCCATGAACATATTTTGGCTGTAGTTGAAAGAGCAGCTCTTGCATGCCCCTCTGTGTGTGGTTTCATGCTTCACCAGTGTTCACAATGAACAGAATTATCCAAGCTTCTTTTTCAACTGGAGGAAATCTATTATCCATATTATGGGCCCTGCTGGACATTTTAAAGCCCTGGATACATAGAAGCCAACGTTTCAGTATCTCAGCTGACTGACGTGACTATTTGGATAGAAATTTGAAGAGCCAAGATATTTTCAGCTGGTAGCATTAGTGAACAAACTCCTGCACAGTGTCTTCACTCGTTGCTTAATTGCCGTGACTTCTCTGTCATATTACCTTAATTCTTCAGGCAACAATAAGACAAACCACAGGAATTACAGTCTGGGTTAGGCTATGTTGTGTGACAGCTCCAATTTAAAGTAGGAAACTCACTAGTTACTCTGTAAACACAGCCATCCAATAAAAATGCAAGTGGGAAAAGAACATAATGCATGAAAATCGCATGGTATAAAAATACAGCTTACATCCGAAAAAAAAAAAGTGCCATAGAAGTTGGAAAAAAAAACAAAGATGAAAGTATGAGACATATAGAAACAATTCTGATATATAAAAGTTCATTGTTGACCCTGGAAACACCAGCAGACAAAATAATCTCACCACAATTTCCATTCATTTGCTGTTCTGGAGCTTTCAACTGCATCACACGACGAGGTCACCCGATGACACTAGAGATGACTTTGAAATGTGGTTAAAAAGCAAGTAAGTGAACCATTAAGATTAGCTACTTATAATGGTCAAGAATAAACTTAGATGCATGTTAAAGTTCTTTATACAATAAAGAAATATTTGTATCTGTATTTTCTAATATTTAATTTGCTAGGGATATGTAGCTCGTTAGCTTGATTGTAGAATACTTAGTAAGAACCAAAACAACCACAGTCACTACCAATCTGGCATTTTCAAGAAATAGACAGAGCAGCACTAACAAAACATAATGGTACACTGGCTAGTACTGGTAACAAAGAACATTTCAACATTTTTATGCCTCTGTGCTTGCAATAGCCGGGGCCGGAGGCATTATGTTTTCAGGTTGTCCATTTGTACGTCCTGTTCTTGTGAACCAGATATCTCAGGAACACCTCGAGGGAATTTCTTCAAATTTGGTACAAACTTTCACTTGGACTCAAGAATTCTTAAGATAATTATGACCAAATTTAACACAAACATCAAATAGGATAAAATGATTGACAAATTGATGACATTTTGTATCCAAATGGTCAAAGGTCAACTTCCCTTTTACATCATGATGTTTTGCAATAACACATCTGGCCATTATTCAATGTTGTTAATCAGAAACAGAAGGGGAGGTTGTGATCATATTTCCTGCAACTTGACTGGTTGGAGGAGGCATACAACTTAATGGTGGTATTTGTAGTGTTTGATTAATTGGGATTTATAAAGTAACTGGTACATATAGTTATCAGATTAATCTAGTTGAGTAAAAAGTACAATATTTCCTCTGAATTGTACTGGGAAAAAGGTCTGAAGTAGAACAAAATGGAAATACTTGAGTAAAGTACTTGCAATTGTACTTAAATACAGTGGCTACTTGAGTAAATGTACTTAGTTA